TCTCCCACTCCCAGAACAACACCTTCTTTCTGAGGTGAGAAGCACCTTGTTCCATCTACTTTAGGACCATTTGAACGTATTTTAAATGTTTTTTTTATTGAACTTCTCAACCGCTCAGACTAAATGTACCTGAACCCACAAAAGCAAAATGTGACTCACACACTGAGTCAACAATAGATTCTAATATTCTCTCTTTTACTGTCGATGCTTTAAACTTCATGTCGTCGCTTAATGTTGGTTTATATGTACTCTGGTTCATTCAACAAAGTGCTTTGCAATTAAAGCTTTTTTTTTTGCTTTGTCACTTTTCTTGCTTTATCATTTGGGGAGCTTTATTTTGGGGGATCATTCTATTATATCTATTGTATTCTAGGGACAGCTTAAGACTGATGTTAAGGAGGGAGAGAGGGGACTGTGGTAGGAACTTATCCTTACTACCCCAGACTGTATATAAAGAAGAAACAAATTGGGTAAATACAACTTTACCCGACTATAATAAATACCAAGGCTGAGATCCTACAGTGTTGTCAGTTATGGAGAATAATTTGACTAAATTAGAACTTAAGTTCTCACCCTACAAAAACATACATGAAAACACATCTTCAGCAGAACCAGGCTCACGGAGGGTTGGGGCGTCTGCCTCGACTGGGTAGGGGGGGAAAGGGGAGAAAGAAAGAAACAAACAAGAGATCTTAACCTCTACAATGACTGACAGGACAAGTAGACTGAAGATCAGACCTTAGGACAGAGAGGACAAACTACATGCAACAGTGAGCAAGGAGGAAATGACTGAGCCATATGAACTGGACAGCCAAGGTAAAGCCATGACTTTAGGAAACATGCCAAAGTTCTGTAATCTTAGCTATGGGTCAGTCAAGATGAAGCGTCTTATTGAGTAGCTTCTATGTGCCACAGTCTGAGAGTCCGTCATGGGTGATTGTTCAATGGAGCAAAACGTGATAGAGCCCCTACAATGAAGACCTAATGCAACGCCCTATACTGGAAAAGTGCTTTTTAGGGTGCCTCCAAGTCTAACAATATAAAACACTACATACACCAATCAGCTTGATTTCTGACCACTGTTAAGTTTTCCATGCCCTTGAGGAAGATGCTCGAGCAGTCTGGGCCCAGCAGGAGGCAGTCTTGTTCAGTTGAGAGACTGTTGACTCTGTGTCCAGTGTGAGTGAAGTGACAGACGACCTCATACAAACTTTATTTGAGGACCTGCTCTCAGTAAATTCGAACTCTTATTGTTGTATTTCACAGCACGATTACTGATTTGATTGAGCTTGCGAGCTCTGCTGACCATGTTGAGGGTCACTGCAAGTTCTAAAGTGCTGAGCTGTAGAAATACAACATTTTTGGCCTTCATTTGTTGATCAAATCATTATATTTCAGTGTTTGTCCTGTACATACATTATTTAAACTAATGATGTGAATCTCCACAAGTGAATGTTTTTTTTTCTTCCTGCTGCCTTTAGGTTACACTTTCTTCTTGCACACCAGGCAGGTAACAGCAGGCTTGTTTCTTAAAACCCAAACAGAATTGTTACGTTTCTTTCCTCCTATTGTCTTTGTGCAAAAATAAATGGGAGAAAATCAAGAAAACATTCACGCAAAAGGCCTTGTTGTTAGCAGAGGTGGCCCACCTCACTGTAAAACACATTGCATAAAAGGATAAATGTCAAACCAACAAGGAAAACAACAATAACAATCAGGCTGTTTACTGGATTGGCCATGAATAAACTGAGCTAAAAATCCAACAAAAGTGAAGACATAAGTTGGTGGCAGCTCCAAGATGTCCAGAGGTTCAGGTAAAATTCCATCCATCCATCATCTATACACCGCTTAATCCTCATTAGGGTCGCGGGGGGGCTGGAGTCTATCCCAGCTGAGTTTCGCAGTCTATCACAGGGCTACACTTAGAGACAGACAACCAAGCACACTCACATTCACACCTACGGACAATTCAGAATTACCGATAAACCTCAACATGTTTTTGGACTGTGTGGGAGGAAGCCGGAGAACCCGGAGAGAACCCACGCTGCATGGGGAGAACATGCAAACTCCACGCAGAAAGATCCCGGTGCCCCCACCGGGACGCGAACCGGTAACCTTCTTGCTGCGAGGCAACAGTGCTACCAACTGCGCCACCTTGCAGCCTTCAGGTAAAATTACCATGTTTAAAACAATTAAATCATTCAGTACCATAATTAATCAGCCAGTCCCCATCCTATTACTTATTTAAGCATAATTCCACCAAAAATGGCTTATTGAGAACCAACAGTGTTGACCCTGATATTGTCTTCACCTTTAAGAAGAATACTCATGTCTGTCTTTGAGCGCACTAGGCTCCATTTAACTGAAGCGTATGTGCTTCTATTAGAATGCAGGTTGATTCAACTGTTATACACATAGCGTCAGAATGCTTCATTTTGGATGCCGAACAGCATCAGGCAAAGGGACTGCTGATGAAAACGTAGCTATCAGACAAACTGAAAAACTTAACTTGAATGTTGGTTAATGTGCATTATCCCTTTACAAATAAAAACAAAATTAAATTAACAGAAAACATGTATATGTGACTTTAATACACAGAGATTAGTTTTGTTATGGTTTAATCAATGAGCAAAGAGGGATTTGAAGTCAGATGATAGCATCCATCACAATTACTCATCTGTGCATTCAGTAAAGGAGTTTTTTTTTTTTTTTTTTTTAGTCTGGCTTAACACAAGGACTAGAATCACAGGGAACTTTTGGCATCCATCAAAATTAGGAAAAAGCAGATAATGTGTGTCCTCACCACTCGGGTCTTCCCTTTTTTCCTCACTTCAGATGAACAGACACCCATCTTTGCGCCAAGCTAGACTAAAAACTAACAGAGATAATTTTATGAGATTCTGAACTGGCTAAACGGTGGCAAAAAATCCTTCCCAAGATGTAAATGCTTGTTTCCCCCCCTGTACACACAATTACACAGGCAGGTAGCACCTTTAAAATCACTTCTTTTGGACTGTGTATTCACTGAGCAGGTCTTTGTCAGCAGCAGATGGAGCACCGCTTTCTCTCCCTTTGTTCCTCTCGTGTGCTCAAGTCTCGATAGGCAGTGGTATTTATCGTCAAAAGGCACATACAATGCACTACAGGCAAACCCTTTACCCAAAATAAATACTTGAACTAATGTAACCACATCCATGACCCTGAATGAAAGAATTAAAATGTCCGGAAAGGGGATTTTCTCCAACAGCAAACGTTTTGACTTATCACAGCAGGAAAAGCACAAACTAATGTCATTAACGATTCACATCCATGACAGTGAATCAGCCTGCACGACAGATGAGCCTCTCCTCGGTGGAATGTAGCCATCGTTTCTGCTATGACGTGTCAAAATGTTTTGATGAGGCAGTTTGTGAATCTTTTCACTCGGATGACTCGGTAACAACTGTTGCTAAAAGAACGTGTGAAGCGCGTCTTCTGGAAATCTTTTGTCTTAAAAATAAAAAAAATAAAAATGAGAGAATTAAAAGAGAACTGTTCCGTTTTCACAAGTCCACTCCCAGTTAGCTGTTGTCCCCGAAGTCCACATCACACAAATAATATGCTGAATATCTTTTACAGTTTTGGTTGTTGATCAATGTCTGCACTGAGAAGGCAGTCTCTTCCTGCAGACGCTGAGGCTATTTGGCAGCTGTATATACAGTATGTCCTCACTGACCACTGGCTATCTCTGCATGCACATAAAAACCTGGTTAGTTGGCTCCATGAAGCTTCAAATACACTTTGATTACATCGCTCTATGTCTTGAATACACACAACAGCCTGTCCTTCAAGTCCTCATCCCCCAGCTGAGTAAATCCTAGCAGGTTCACACAACAGCCGTGTCTCGATCTTTGCTGAGACAAACGGGCTCCACTATTCTTCAGACCAACGTGGCTGAAACGTCGTATGACCGTGCCTTATCATTTGGCATCAAAACGCTTCACAGATGTTGTGTTATCAGAAGAATGACTTGCACCCAGCAGGGACGTTAATGTGTAGCGGCACAGAGCTGTATTAACAGGGGTACGGCTTGTGCATGTAGAGATAGCCTAAGTCCTGCTCATAGCAGTAGATGAGCCTTGGACTGCTCCTGCAGCTCTGTACTCGAATCAGGGAGAGGCTGAGGAGAGCCGCTGCTTCTCTCCGTCTCCGTCAGCTCGTCCTCCTTCTGCTCGTCCTTCTTCTGCTCGTCCTCCTCAGCTTTCCGTTTCTCTGCCTTGGTCTTGAACCTCAGCCCGTGGCCTGTTGACCACAGAAAATAATGATTTTTGTTACTGGTTGGTCTCTTTCTTTCCTTTAATTGATTTGCTATCCAAATTGCTATACTTCTGTGTTCAATGTACGCCATAAATACTGTGTAGCTTGACGTGCACTTCTGCAGAAATGTAACTAAATGTCGTGGCGACACAAACCGCAACAACTGTGACTGGTCCACGTGGTATTAATAAGCGGTGTTGACACAGTGCATTGATTTGTGCAAAGACAATCCATACATTATCGATACATCGCTTAATCCTCACTAGGATAGTGGAGGGCTGGAACCTATCCCAGGTGACTTCGGGCAAAGGACAGGTAACCAGTCTATCACAGCGGCTACACTTAGAGACAGACAACCAAGCACACTCACATTCACACCTACGGACAATTTAGAATCACCAATTAACCTCAACATGCAAACTCCACACAGAAAGATCCCAGGTGTCCTCACTGGGACACGAACCGGTGACCTTCTTGCTGTGAGGCGACAGTGCTAACCACTGCTCCACCTTGCAGCCCCGTGCAAAGACAATGCTTCTGTGAAACAAAATCAAATCCATAAAAGGCTGTAACTGTATCCGTCTTGCTCATATGACAAAAAATGCAAGAACCAGGAATCTGCCAGTGTAACCATATGCTGTTTCATAACTCTTCCAGTGTGTATATAAACTAAATCAGCTCCAAAATGTTCCTTTGTTTTAAGTGTTGCAGTCACTGTTATTGACCATTCGTTCGCTCTAACTCCAACATGATTCGTTTCAGCTTCCATTGCTTGAAGTGCTCGAGGAAACTCAACACAGTGGCATTAGAACCCCACTACTGACACAATGATGGTAAACAAACAACAGCATTTCACAAAGAACAAGTTGGAAGCAGCAGGCTTTTGGCATTTTTAATGATACAATCTGAAAATTTTCGTGATTCCTTTCTGTGCGATCGATCAGCTAAGTGACCGCATGAATATTATTGTGGATTTGGTGGAGGTGCACGACAAAATCATCAAAAAATACGACAGCAGCAAACTTTGGGCGCTCCACCAAATCAGCGAAAGAGGAAATGTACGTGAGTGTATGTGCGTGTACTGACTTGGACAGTCTGCCACCTCTTTGTAGGCCTTCTTCTTACAGCAGCCTCGACACAGGTTGAAGACACATTTGTTTCCCTGCGGACAAAATATGAGAATATAATGCGTTTGGCTTTATGTTCAAACAACAGGAGGAGAATTTTTTTTGTCCTGAATTTTTTTGACCAACGTGAGAAAACAGAATGTACTTGTGTTTGGTTTAAATTCTTTCCAGTTGATCTACTAAACAAAAGACTTAGAATTATACAAAGAATGCGAGAAGTTCATTTAAACTTCAGCAGAACAAACATCTGGGTACCTGACACCTCTGCAATCCCAATTAACTAATACAGACAGTAAAATCTACTGTACATGACCGCACAAATCTATCTCCATTCGTGAAACAAAAAGCACGAAGACACCGTTCTAACCGGCTGCTTACCTTTGGGTTGCCACACTGCTCACATTTGATGTACTTGGCTGCAGGAGGAAAGAAGAGAGACACTTTGTCAGATTTCTAGTTGTACTCGGCTTTAAATGAGAAACTCTGCAGCTGCGAGTCATGGAAAAGCTCACGTTTCTGCTCAGGACAGAAGTTCTTGTTGGGGTTGCGGGATCTCTTCTTCTGCTTGTTTTTGGAGAGCGTGTCAGCCGTTCTGTCAGAGTCCTCCAGCGCCCTCTTCTGACACACCGTCTTCTTCACCTCCGACCCCTGGCTGTTGCCATTAGCGACTGGCTCTTTTGGCCTGTAAGAGGTTGTCAGTCGACAGTAAGATGAGTGTGGAGGAGGATTAATATATCTGACAATATCTGAGAAATATTTCGGTCCATTACTTTGCTGAGGAGTAAACATCTGCTGTACGGATGTTTGATATTTGTGTGAAAGCAAAGTGCAGTAACTCACGGTGGTCTGACGTATGGCTGGCAGATCCAGTGGGGGAAAGGCAGGTCACCCTTCTTCTCTTCTGCATCCTTTCCTTTGGCTATCTCTTCCTGCACGGAAACCAACACAGTACGCTGTCAAGAACCTCTCTGAGAACATCTGTACCAATCCAGCAGGTAGAGCTGTGGCACTAAGAGCTCAACACGCTGCTGCTCCCTTTCTACCAGCATGAACCAGGTGTTAGTTATGCACTGGTGCTAAAGGAAGTTCAGCCTAAGACCTTCTAAGAACTGGTTTGCTTTTCCATCACTGCATCACTGCATGTGTCTGTTTGAACACTGCTTTCATTATTGAAGCTCGTTTATTTTTAACGTCTGTTCAGGACAGTTGGTCTCTCCTACAGACCGCTGCTGGAAAACCCATGAGGTCAATATTTGTCTCTTGTTCCCTGCTGCTAATGTTTTAATATCTCTACTGGGCGGCTGTGGCTCAGGTGGTAGAGCGAGTTGGTTAATGATCGGAAGGTCAGCGGTTCGGTTCCTCCCTGTAACCTGTGTCAGGGTCGCTGTGTCCTTGCCTGGTGTGAATGCGTATGAATAGATTGTTGGAGGTGGTGGTCGGAGGGGCATGCCTCTGTCAGTCTACCCCGGGGCAGCTGTGGCTACAATCGTAGCTACCACCACCGGAATGAATGTGTGTGAATGAATAATTGACAGCGTAAAGCGACTTTGAGTGTTTAGAAAAGCGCAACACAAATCTGATCAATTATTATTATTATTACTTGGTGTTTGTAAAATTGCAGTTGGCATTTGTGAGTGTCGCTCAATGTGCCAGCGATTGCGACGCCATTTAAAAACAACTGCTGGCGATACTAAAATAGCAGGAAAAACAGGATGAATAATGATTTCATTGGCTTTCCGCACACTGCAGCTTTGATTACATGTCCATGTTGATGCTCTGGTTTTTCTCCGTCTACAGATAGATGGAGTAGCTCCAGCTTTTTTTCTAAAAATAAAAATCTCTGGAACAAGACTTCCTGGTTGAGACACTGTTTTTTTTTGACAGCTGAACTGCAAAGAACTGGTTCCAGATTAGGCACCAAGGAGGCTTTCCAACTGGGTATGCATCTTGAAAAAACACAAAACTAGACACACAAACAGCTAATATAAAGCTTTTTCTTGAAGCTTAATATTTCTTGCATCATGCAGGTGGAAAAGTCTGAGATGAGACGTCATTATCCTGATAATGAGTCCATATACAGCAGGGGTGTCCAATCCTGGTCCTCGAGGGCCAAATCCTGCATGTTTTAGATGTTTCCAACACACCTGATTGAAATGATCAGCTCATCATCAAGCTCTGCAGAAGCCTGATAACGATCCTGATCATTTTGATGTTGGCAGAAGGAAACATCTAAAACATGCAGAATCGTGGCCCTCGAGGATCAGGATTGGACACCCCTGATATACAGACTACATGTGAATACCAGTTAGCAAGAGGTCTTAATACATTTCTGATGCTACACAAAGTCAATGAGCGAATGAATAAAGCTGCGTATTGTTCCACAGCACAACTCCTCAGGCAGACATGATACTGTCTGGCTATTATATGAATATGTTGAGCATTTCACTGTTTCTCCCCCCATCTGGTGCTGCAGAACATTTAGCTACAAAGCGACAGATTCATGGTTTTTACGTCCTCACTTGTATTTAAAATCTAGTTTCTCTGTTTGTACCTGGCAGCGCAGCCTCAGCTGTTTGCTGACGTCGGCCAAACCCTCAAGTGTCTTCACCTTGGCCAACTCCTCCCTCAGATCCTGGTGGATCTGCAGACTGAACACAACACACAAACCTCAATATATATGAAGCATGCAGATACTTTTCGGGTTATACATCGGCAAAGAATTTATAGCCTGAGTGATGAGACACTGTTGCCAATGTCCCATTTGAAATACACTTTAACATTTGCACTATTACAGTAGTTTGCACAATAACAGTTATTTTTATTTCTAGTTACTTAGATGCTAGTTACTTTTTTACTGTTCATTTATTGTTTACTCTATACTTATTGGTGTTTTTGTTTTTTTGCACCAACCCACCAGAACAAATTCCTTGCATCTATACTTGGCAATAAATCCGTTTCTGATTCTGACAAATGATGAATTCAGTATTTATTGATGCTTAAATAATGCTTAAAAGTGCGTGCTTATTATAAAGTGTTACCAGTGCATCAAGTAAGGAGAGACATACGTGTGATGCCAGAGCTTGAAGAGGTGAGCTCGTACGTAGGACAGCGTGCACGGAGGATACAGCTTCACCACCTCCAGATACTCCTCAGCCATCTCCCACACCGGGGGGCTGCGGCCCTCAAACAGCGCTGGGTTGTGGAGGTTTCCCTCTAAGAGCAACACGACACAGAAGAAGGTTTCGAAACAATGCACATCCTGAGCAGCAATGTAAATCGTATATTAACATTTTAGAAAATATGTTTGCATTGACTACCACAAAGTACGTCATAGTGGATTGATGTTCCCAACCTGCACTCATGACTCCCTGAACTCCTGTTTCCTGAATGCAGCGCTCCACGTCACTCAGGTGCTGGATGTTGCCGTTAGCAAACACTGGAATATTTACTGCCTTCCTGTAGCGACAATCACACCAATCGAAAAATATTTATACATGCATTTGTTTCCTGACGGATCTTGTGTTCGCTCTCCGGTTCGTGTGGAAGCTCACCGTACTGCCTTGATGTGTTCCCAGCTCGCGATACCTGTCATGGCTCCTTTCTGGTCTTTGGTTCTGCCGTGCACAGTCAGCAGCTGAGAAAGAGATAAAACAAAGCTAAACACAAAATAGAGAGCTAGAGAGGTGGTGGATTCATATTAAAAATGAGTTCACACCTGACATCCGGCTTTCTCCAGCATCTGGGCGTAGCGGATCGTCTTCTCCATCTCCTTGAACACTCGGATCTTGCACGTGATTGGCACTGAGAGCTTTTCATTGGCTAACCTGACTGACAAATAAAGGGGAAATTTTAGGTGCCTGGCATCGTGAAGGTGTAACGACATGAGCAAAAGAAACGATGACAAATTGTACATATTGTCAGAAAACAATGAGTGCTACAATAACTTCCTGCGATACCTACGGGGGCAGCATTCTAGCAAAACTATTTGTCCATGGAGATTTGTCTGTCTGTATCTCAATCTGTATCTATCCCTGTGATAGACTGGTGACCTGTCCAGGATGTCCCCTGACTTCACCCTAAGTCGGCTGGAATAGACTCCAGCTCCCCCGCAACCCTAGTAACTCTCCATACACATGGACAAATAGCTTTGCCACAATAATGCCCCCACAGATACCGACGTCACCTCATTGCCAGAGAGAAACTACTGACACTTCTGTTGTGTCATTACTGAACACAAAAAT